AACTTAAACAGAATTCGGGTTAATTCAGTCGAAATTTCTGGATCGTTCATATTCGACTAGATATTTGGTTAATTCAACCAAACCTCTTTTTCCGTGTAAGGATACATTATTTTGCATCAATAACAAATTAACGTGTTTCTTAAGACAAATATACTCAAGAAATTTTTTCTATCCTAGCAACGAAACTACTTCTGCTCTGATAACGAATAATTTGTAAAACTAGTTAAATCAACTAAATTTTTTTGATGTCACTACGAATATGCAGTAGCAACAACGATTTTGCTAAAAGAGCAAAATTATTTTTCTCCGTGTGATAGTCTGTTTGGATAATTACGTAATATAATTCTACACACGTTTTAACAAAATATTTTGTATTCATGTTGAAATCTATCTGTGTAAAAAAAACTTTTATGTTAAATTCTTAATATATTCTCGTGTGTTAATTTAACATATTATATGTATATATTTGTGTTATATTGATTTTTCTGCGTTGAGAATTCATATTCACCATTTCTCATTATTAAAATAACGTGATTTATATGTAACATGTGTAATGATATATTTTTTAAAGTATACGAATAAGTTGTGCTATTTATATATTAACACATTTGCCTTGTGTTAAATTTTATACACTCAAAAATTTGAGTGTATAAATTGGAACATGTGAAATATATTAAATTTTGCAGTGCACGGAAAAAGATGTTTGTTTGAATGAACTAATTTCTATTGAAATACGAATGATTCAGAAATGTTAATTGACTACTACAAAATTCTATTTAGAAGAGTTAACCGAAAATCTTGATAATTTAAATTGAAATCTGATAACTTCGATCGGAATTTCTGAGTCGTTCATATTTCACCAGAAATTCGTGGATCCAGTCAAAGTTTTTTTCTACGTACACAATAGAGAAGATCAAAGTGGAACATGTAATGAACAATCTCGTTGAAAAGAGCAGAAGAAAGATAGATCCAAAAGAGAAGCAGTTGCTTTCTTACTTGCAGCAGCAAGAGGAAGATAACCCACTGATAGTACTTGTGCTGCTTGACCAACGGGTTGGGTGTGTGGCCGTGTGCTCCCTCACCCTTGCTGTTGGACACTCCGGGATACGGCACGGCCTGGCCGAGGCTCATGTTGAAGGCGTGCACCATGCTGTACGTGGTGTGAAGCCAGCAGAAGGTCTCCAGCACGACCTTGTCGACGGAGCCGGTGGTTTCGCAATGTATGGGCGAGCCGGAGATGCTCTTACAAGCGAGGGTGAGGCAGCCGGACAACAGCACCGCCACGGTGGCGCGATAGTGCAGCCGAAACATCATGGAGTCCTCGACGATCCGGTGCACCTTGAAGAGCGATCGAATCGAGCCGAACAGGTCAATCATCTTTAGCATCAGCGGCATGTTACATCACAAATCGGAGACTTCGCGCGACCAGAGGTCAGAGTTCTTTCGCTCTTTTATATTTCTTTCGCGACTGCCTGGCAATCGTGCCTCTCGTGACGTCTCCTTGTCCTCTCTGTTTCCGAAGAAGTTGAAAAAATTCGCGTAGATCTATCTTTATAGCACAGGAGGCCCTTAAAGACCTTGTATTAGTCTTCCTCATGCGACGATCGTGATAGCAAATTGTTTCTGGTGTTCCTTGATATCTCAAATATTTTTAGATTAAAAAATATATCAAGAAAATAATTCGATTTTTGACGATTGAAGAAACTCGCGTAGATCTGCTCTTGTAGAACAATGGACTTTTGGAAAACTTCTGTTAACCTTTTTTGCGCGTTGATTGTGATAGCAAATCACTTCTGGTGTCTCAAATATTTTTAGGTTGAGAAATATATTAAAAGAATAATTTGATTCTTGATAATTGAAAAAATTCACGTAGATTTGCTTTTATAGAGCAATAAACTCTTGGAGACGTTTTGTTAGTCTTCTTCGCGCGTCGATTGTGATAGCAAATCGCTTTTGGTGTTTCCTTGTGTCTCAAATATTTTTAGGTTGTGAAATATATCAAGATGATAAATTTCTCTCGATTGTTCATTACTTAAGAAATTTACGTATATTTTTACTGTAAATCCTTCAAGATCTGTTAACTTTTTTCGCGCGTCGACCGCGATATCCAATCACTTCTAGTGTTTTCTGGTGGCTCAAATATATTTAGGTTGAGAAATATATCAAGTGATAGTTCGATGATTCTTGATAATTTCGTCTTGATATGAAGTGGATTTTCAATTTTCAATTATTTTACCTTGATATCAAGTGAATAATTCGATTCCTTGATTTCTCAATTGCTTGGAATTAATTTCTGTTGAATTAATTCGTGCAGAAAGTGCACAGGATATTCTTCTCGCAAGTCCGTTTGTTGGATCCAAATTTTTATCTTGCCTTTAGAGAGTAACTAGGTCGAGATTGTCGTTTTAAAGTATCGGGGATAGGCGAGGAAAGAATCGCCGTGAGAGAGTGCAATCGTAAGGGTGGACAGTCCACGTGACTTCTCTCTCCGTGGAGTTTTGAGGTCGGCTCGCGGGAACAGCGTATACCGCGTGCATTTTGTGGGCGTTTAAACCGTCGTAAAAATCGCACGATACTTTGTTTGCTTTTCCGACGGAGAAAGTCCTCCTCACACCCTCTTCACCCGCTCACTTCTTTTCCTCGGTTTCTGCCGCGCTCCACGTACGATATAACGTTATATCTTGCCTCGAGTGTAACGCGCAGTAACGCCATTCCTCCGTGCACCTTGCGGAACACGTCGATTTAGCTTGTCCTTTGCGGTTTCATCGTGCGCCGCACACGCATTTTGCATCTTGATTAGTCGGTCACGGCGGGAAAAATCGCGGCTTAACTCGACGCAACTTGTCGCACGACCACACCTCGCTACATTCTTACGCCTTTCGTCCGTAAAGATGCTTTATGCGTGATAATTACAGAGTCCTGCTCCTCTTCACGGACACGCGTTATGCGTCAGAAAAATCGCAACGCAACATATCGTTTCGTCCAGCCATCTTTCGCGAGAGAGGGAAAACTATAATCTACATACTTCTCACGTATCCGCGCGACCATACGTAGTCTCTCGCTCCTCTCTTATTACCACCGGTCTTGATTAACACAGGCACCTCAATGGTGTGTCCCTTCCCGCATGTGAAATAAACATGAGAGAAATTCACGATAGAACCCGGCCGAAAAGGGCGATCGCGAATTGAAGACGATCGCACCGGAGTCGCGTAAGAAAGGCGGGCGCGTGAGGCTCGGATGCGGGCTGTCAGAAGACTGACCGGACTTGAGGGGCATCCCTTGACCTCGATGCTAAATACATAACTTATATTATCTTTAGGGGGGGCGTCTGCACTGCGTCGGGTCAGCGTGTTCGGCCGAGCGTCGATTGACAGCAAGTCAAAGTTTATCGTCCGCGCGACTCGATAGCGCGCGAAAATGTTTGCACCGGATCTCCCACGTGCGTGGCGATAAATAACACTCGACGGCGCGCCTCGTTCAGCCAGAAGCTCGGGGGATAGCTGCGGCTTAACGCCGCCGTAAAATCCCGTGCGTTTCAGCTCGTTGTGTAGCTGAATTATGCGAGGTTAATACAGTTAAGGGGATGCTGAAGCTGAAAACTTCACCGACAGAACACTGATATTTTTCTGCAAAGTTTACATCGTATTAGTATACAGAATTACAAATGCTTTTACGCAACGGAAATATGTGCAGAAATAAATAGGAACATTGCTCGATACGTGACGAAAACGAACAAAAAATTTTTAATGTAAAATCTCAAGCTGTCAGTTAGCGCAATATTTGCCTAATCCAAAAGTTCCGCAACTTGTATATACCGAAAGTGTGGATGCTCCAAACAGAAAAATTTTGAAGAACATTGCTCTACCTTCGCATCTGCATTTGGAAGCTTAAAAATATCGAAAAAGTTTGCAGAAAGATTTCTACACATATATGA